GGGAATTTACAAGCTTATGCTTGATGTAAAGGAAAAATATCAGAATCCGGTCATTTACATAACAGAGAATGGTAAGTAGTCGTGTTTATAATTAAATGACTTAAAAATACTAGAGTCCGTTTTCCTTTTACCAAAATAATATCTCTACAATTTTTGTAGGAGTGGATGAAGTCAATGATAAGTCCAAAAGTGGTGCACAATGCCTCTCAGATGAAATGAGGATTCACTATTTTCAAGATCATCTCTACAACCTTAAGCAAGCAATGAAGTAATTAATTCGCTGTTCAAATTAATTATTATGGAAGTATTTACTACATAGCGTTGACTCAATTAACATTAAAGATTTTGCTTTCCTTTTTCAGCCAAGGCGTAAATGTGAAGGGCTACTTCATTTGGTCTTTGTTTGATAATTATGAATGGGCCGCGGGATACACGGTTAGGTTTGGCATTATTTATGTAGACTACGTGAATGGCCGTTACACAAGGTTGCCGAAAAACTCAGCTGTATGGCTGAGGAAATTTCTCACCAAGAAGGTTGTAAATCCAGCAAACAAAGAAGCTGAAAAAGCTGACGAGCGCCGTAAAAGGTTAAGAAGCGGCTAATTGAGCTTATAAAAATTAGTGCTTCCTTAATGTTATGTTGAATAATGCATGTTTGCAATTCTCGCTTTTGATTTGTTTCCTTTTCTTGCTTGGATTGAGTGTTTCTACTGTACTCGTTCGTTTTCAAATAAGAGGAGGTGGCCGATGAGGCTCCGAGTCAAATTGTCATGTCGATTGTTTTAATATAATGTTCTTCCAATTCTCTTTGAAATTATGCTTCATAAATAGAAAACCAGAGTAGAATGACTGGGTATTAATCTAGCTGTTATGAATTGGACCGTATTCCTCATTGCAAGTTGCAATAGATCAAAAATTAAAGGTTTGGACTTGACTGCCAAAAAATCATCGTCCAAGCTGGAGTGGCTTTTTCATTAATATATACAGAAATAAAAATAAAAATTGTTGAAGTATACAAGTGTTTACATACGTGTATCAATAGGTGAATGCATGCTGTATGAAGCACTGGAGATGGAAGTGAAATGCGACTAATACTAAGCCTCTGGAAAGATGGTGGAATGATCATTTTATAGATTTCTTTAGTTCGTTTCGTTAGGCATGTTTAGTTTGTTTTTTGAAGTAATGTCTTTGATCGAGATTAATAAAATTTGGAGGTCCCGTCCACCTTTATTTAAAAGAAAGCAAAAAACTCTTCTAATTACGAAGTTATCACGCAAGTGTACAGTATCATTTCGTATGATGACTAGTATAATATCATCCCATAAAGCTTAATTATTGATCTTACTTTAATTAAAATTAACTCTAACAAGGACACAATTTTAAGATATTGTTTTTAAGGTTAGTTTTTCCTAAATAACAACTAATTAAGCTATTCAATGTGTATAAAAGCCTTAAATTGAAATTCACACAAAGAACTAGGACCATGGATCCACCCTTAGTTACCTTATTTTTAATCTCAAGCATTGGTCAGTTATCAATTCTTCTGGAGGTTGAAATTCAACGATCCAATTACAATCAAACGTCTCTCCTCATTAATTAATTCTATACTTGTAAACTTTTAATCTCAAGTATTGGTCAGTTATATATTGTTGGAAATGTAATTAATTAAGGATTTTATAACATTTTACAGATCTCAACGTGTACATCTCTATGAGAAGTTATTGTTATTTTACTCCAGACAATCCACCTGCCTAATTCACCCGAGAAAAAAAAAAGAAGTTTTCGTCTTTTCAAGGTTCCTAGAGGAGTTTAATGTATGTAAATGATGAATGAATGAATTTGTCATTTAGAATTCGTGTAATTCATTTAATTTGATCTTGAAAACATTTAAAGATTGCTTTGGTAATTGCCCATGCTTGAAGGGTTATTCCAAATCACAACTATATAAGCCACACCATTGTATATCGTGAAGCAATTGAATTTTAATATATGCATTAAGTTATTTGATAGGTGTCTGTCATTCTCTTCTTAACTTTTGATCTCTTCGGTGATTCCGAGAACGGTGTGTTTTCTTAGCCCTATATCCCTTGTTTAATTTCTTCCGGTGGTGATTTCTTGTATCCCTTAGGCATTTGCTCGAGCAGTGAGCTATTTTAGCCTTTTTTTTCTTTTTTTTGGTTATCAATTTCATTTCAACTGGGTATCAAGGTGGCCTCATAATGTTTCTGTTGGGTCGGATCCTGGCCCATTTGTTGTGCTCTCAATTTTTGGGATGGAAGTCGTGTTTACAATTCACGCCTTTCTTATTTTGGTTGACAACTTCACTGGATGGATGACACTTGGCTCAC